AGGACCCCCAGGTGTGGGGAGCAGGAGGATTGTGCCCCGGTGAGGATGAGGAGAGAGCACCCTGCACCCCCCGCTGCCTGCGCGGTTCCCTGGTACGTCTGGCAGCGAGCGCTGCCAGGCGGGGATTCGATTCTCAGCTCCGAAGGGAGGTGAGAGACAGCGCTTCCACCGCCTCTGCAAGGAAAAGGGAATTCATGGCTGTGCGCTGAGCGGGAGATCCGGAGCGCAGCCAGAGAGAGAGGAAATGGGCACACGACATGGCATGGCATGGCCGGGCACAGCCAGAAATCTCATTCGTGCTCCCCTCTTGGTCAAGGTCGAGGGTGCCAGGGAAGTGCCACGATGTGACCCAGCTTCCTGCAGCCGTGCCCCTGCGTCCCCTGCCTTCCCTGCATCCCCTGCATGCCACCTCCATGCCCCCAACAGTCACTGTGCATCCCGTCTCTGCACCCCTGGCACTGCCCTGCAGCTCCACTCTGTGTCCTGGGGACAGGACGGTGACCATGGGGGACGAGACAGTGACCATGGGGGACAGGACAGTGACCACGGGGGACAGGACAGTGGCCATGAGGGACAGGACGGTGACCATGGGGGACGGGACAGTGACCATGGGGAACAGGACGGTGGCCATGAGGGACAGGACGGTGGCCATGCTCAGGTCACTGCCCTTGCCGGCTCACACCGCCGCTGCCAGAGCTGCTGCTTCCGCCTGGCACTGCCAGGAGTGATGGATGCACATCCAGCGGCTGCAGGTGGCAGCGGGACAGGGACCCCGGGCACCGCACGGCTTTGCCTGGTGCCCGGAGATCAGCGGGAGGGAGGAGCCGGGGCTGGAAGGGGACACGGTGCCCAGGAGTGTGTCAGAGCAGGGCGGAGGCCCCGTGGGCACGGTGCCACCCTCGCCCAGCTGTTGGGAAGATCCACAGGTCATTGTCCCCTGGCTGCTGGGCTGTGCTCCCGCTCATCCTCTGCTTGTGCCTCCAGCCACACCCCACGGGCTGGCACTGCCCTCCGAGGCGGCTGTGACCCATCGGTGACAAAGGCAGCTCCTCCCAGGTGACAGGACAGCCCTGTCCCTGTGCAGGGTGCAGCGGGTGCCCCCTCCCAGCGCTGCCTCCCCCAGCCCTGAGCTCTGCCCGCGGGTCTGGGGGCTCAGCCCCTGCCAGAGCTGCAAAAGCCCCGCTGAGCAGGGGTTCCAGCAGGGCAGGGTGGGGTGCTGGCAGCCTCTTGCCACCCCTTCCTTCCATTCCCATCCCTTCCCTCCCCCGGGGCCAACGCCGTGATTCAGCCTCTCAGTTTCAGTCCTCGTAGCCAATTTCCATGCGGAGCGGGAGGGAACAGGGCAGGGAGGAGTGAGCAGCCACAATGCCCTGTGCCTCGTGCCCAGGGCTGGCACGGGTTTGTGGGCACCAACAGAGACCCCCAAAACACAGGAGGGCACCCCACCCTGCCACCCCCACCTCCATGGATGGATGCAGGCTGCACCCTCTGATCCAGGAGCATCCCCAAGGAGCAGGGTCACAGTGCTGCACCCCAAAACAGCCATGAGTTCATGGATATCACACCCCAAAGCAACCATCACTTATGGACATCACACCCCAAAACAACCATCACTCATGGACATCACACCCCAAAACAACCATCAGCTCATGGATATCACACCCCAAAACAGCCATGAGTTCATGGACATCACACCCCAAAGCAACCATCAGTTCATGGATATCACACCCCAAAACAGCCATGAGTTCATGGACATCACACCCCAAAGCAACCATCACTTATGGACATCACACCCCAAAACAACCATCACTCATGGACATCACACCCCAAAACAACCATCACTCATGGATATCACACCCCAAAGCAACCATCAGCTCATGGACATCACACCCCAAAACAACCATCAGCTCATGGATATCACACCCCAAAACAGCCATGAGTTCATGGATATCACACCCCAAAACAACCATCAGCTCATGGATATCACACCCCAAAGCTACCATCACTCATGGACATCACACCCCAAAACAACCATCACTTATGGACATCACACCCCAGAGACCCATATGGAGTAGGACATGCTGCCCTCCAGCCCCCTGCAGCTCGCCTCCTACCTCACTTGACAGCCTCAATGGTCATGGATCCCTTTTGGGGTGCCCCTCATGGAACCCAGAGCCTCACAGGAGCCTGGCTGCTGTCATGGCCTCCATGGGTCCCCACAAGTTCCCCCAGGTCATCTGCGGGGACATCCAGGCCTGAACTCATCCCTTCCTCTCCCACAGCAGAGCCTCTCCTAACCTGAGCTCCTGGATCCCAGCACATGGAAGGTGGAGGCAGCCTTGAAAAGACCAGTCTGGGTTTTATTAAAAGTTCAGCACCAGTAAATATATAAAAAGAGCAACTGTGCAAGAGGGGAAATCTTAAATTAACGGAGCTTAAGGCTAGGGAGGGCTGGTGTGGCAAAAATTCAAGGCACAGGCAGGGCATGGGTGCCACAGCCTCACCCTGTGGTGACACAGGGAGGTGACACACAAGGAGCCCCCTGTAGCACCAGGCTGGGGAGTCCAAGGGGGGCTGGCAGATTGCCTGGGAGGCTGGCGGAACAGGAGCAGGAGCCTCAGGAAGGGGCAGGAGCAGCTCCAGCATTGTGCATTGCTCCCAAAGTAGGGGTAGCCCCCCAAGCCCCTCAGGACAACACAGGGGTGGATCCTGGTGCATCACCCACAGCTCCTGGGGAGCAGCTGAGGGACACAGAAATCCATCCCCATGCTGTGGGGCATCACTGCTGGTTCAGGACTCCTGGGGCACCGGGGACAGGGGTGGCCCAGGCTCCTGGGCAGGCAGGGATGTTCAGGGCTGCTGGTGTTCCTCTGATGGGAACTGGGCTGTGCCAGCACACATCCCGGTGGCAAAGGCAGCCCTGCTGCAGGATGCTGGGCAGGACTGGCCCCTCCCCATGAGTCTGAGTTTCTACCGGTGGCTGGGAGGAGCCCGATGTCCCCAAGATGGCATCGCAGAGCCACCACCGTCCAGCTCAGCTGGTGCTGGCTCCCCCTTCACCCGGCTCATCATAGGATCTCTGCAAACAAGGAGAGTTTGGTGGCACCAGGGATGTGGGCAGCAGACCCCCCCACCCTATAGCATGACCCCCAGACCTTGCTCGTCTTTGTCTCCTTTGGTCTTGGGTTCCTGCCACCACTCTGAGAAGAATCCCTCCTCGTAGTCACCTTCACCCTCGAACTCGCTATCAGAGGGCAGCTCCAGCACCTCCGGCCCCTCAGCACCATCCACCTCCATCTGCAGCACAGGAGGAGGCAGAGGAGCTCGGCATCCCCACCTGCAGTCTGCTCCAGGGCTGCTTTGGGGGGGTCACACCCCACACCCACCACCCTGCACCCCACACCAGGTACCTCATCATCATCATCCTGCAGGTACTGCCGGGCGAACTCCAGCATCTTCTTCTGAGCCGCCGTCTGGTTGTGGTACCTCACGGCTTCCTGGGCACTCAGGGGAGAGGGGCTGGGTCAGACCCTCGCTGGGCATGCAGGGCCACAGCACGGGGGGCTGGGGGGTCCTCACCGGCCGTGGCTCGAAGTCTTCCTCGCGCAGGCGCCAGCGCTCGCGGTGGAAGCGGTAATAGACCAGGTTCTGCTGCATCACCGTGTCCCCCGGGTCGAAGAGCATGTAGCTGGCGACACTGCGCACCGCGTCCTGCACATCGTTCACTGCGGGGAGCAAGAGCCAGCTGATGTTGTGGTGTGATGGAATAGCCTGTCTCAGTCATCCCAGGTCTTTCCCCAGGTGTGCCAACACCTCTCCCTTCCCCTCCCTTGCCCCTGCTGAGTGCTGTCTGTCAATCTTGGCATTCCACAAAGGGCATTGTGTGATTGGTGAGGTTCAAAAGATGCCTCTCAGCCCTGGGGACATTGGGCTATTCAGGTGTCATTTGTCCCCTGAGACTTCCCCCCCTTACCTGGTTGGTGGGACCCCTACCCCTTCCCTCCCCTCTCCCCGCGGTTAAAAGTCACAGCAACCACGGGGTCAGGGAGTTCTGTTGGAGCTGCTGCTGGATTCAGAGGCCTGTGGGCCAGGAATAAAGCTCTGGATTGAAATCCTCCAGCAGAACCGACTCCTTTCCTTCACCTTGCCTTGAAGCCTTTCCACCAGAGGTAAACCGGAGCTCCTGCATGCTTGGACGTGTCCCAAGCACCAGCTGCAACATCCAGCCAGCCAAAGGTGTCTCTGAGGTGAAACCACCACAGCTGCCACCTCTGGTCAAGCAGCAAGGGCCAGATGAGCCCAGGCACGTCCCATCCAGCTATATTGGTATTTAATTCCAATATATTGGTGCCCAATGTGCGGCAGCTCCATCCTGGGGATGGATCAGTCAGGGAAGAGACCCCTGAGGTGGCACCCTCACTTTTGCTGCAGCATCCAGCCAGCCAAAGGTGTCTGTGGGGTGAAACCACCACAGCTGCCGCCCTTGGTCAAGCAGCAAGGGCCAGATGAGCCCAGGCACATTCCATTTGGTTATATTGGTATCTAATTTCAATAAGCTGACATGGGGTGACACCCCTGACAGGGCACACAGCACAGCCCCTGCTCCCAGCGGCACTCACGCTTGTAGTAAGCGAATTGCAGGTAGTGGTACATGGTGGCCACGAATTTCTCCACGAAGTAGCCGCCCACGTTGGGGGTGAGCTCGGTCTCGCAGTCCACCTTGCACTGCAGCACGCTCACAAAGTGGTCTGGGAGGGAGAGATGTTGGGTGTTGCAGCCCCTGATTATCTCCCCAAATCTGCCATCCCCCAGCCCCCCACTACCTGCAATGGCAGGGTAGAAATCCTTGAACTCCTGGAGCTCGTAGGCGCCCTCACAGCCGGCCAGACAATCCTCGTAGGCCTTGTAGTACTCAGCCAGAGCCTGCTCCATGTCGGCTGCACTGCTCCTGAAATCCCCACTGTTGTACAGCTTCACTGCCCGCACAAATATCGGCTGCAAGGACCCCAGCTCAGTGAGGGAGAGCTGCTCCCTCGGGGCTTGGCAGCACCAGGTGGGCTTCGAGCCCTGGGGAGCCCCTCTGAGCTCCTCTGAGCCCTGCCCCAGCCCCATCCCCTCCTCACCTCATAGGGCTGAGCTTCCAGGTCCACCAGGTACTCATCCACATCCAGCATAGTCCTGTAGTAGTTCAGGTACCTCAAGGTCATCTCATGCTTGGGGTTCTTCTGCAGGAAGGTGTGGGCAGCAGACACAGCTTTCTCGATCTTGTTTGACTGTGGAGGGAGGTGCAGAGACCTTCTGGAGGGCAGCCTGAACCCACAGTGTAGCCAAGGGGGCCTCAGCACCCAGCCAGAAGGGTGATCCTTGTGGGGAACAGCCCTGAACCCACAGTGCACAATCACCCTCTGGCGGGGATGGACAGACAGGATATGGGAGCATGGACACTGCAGGTAACTCCAGCCATGCCAACCTCCTGGCTGTGCCCATTTTGGGCACAGGGGCAGCTCAGCCTCCCATGGGCTCCCATATCCAGCCAGGAGTGATCCACGTGGTGTGAGGAGGATCCACGTGGTGTGAGGAGGATCCACGTGCTGTGGGTTTGACCCACACATCCACCCCTCTCCAGCACTGCCATCAGAGCTGGCTGCTGCCCCTGCTGCTCTATGGGCTCAGGTTGCAGCTCAGAGGAGCAGGGAGGGAGGGTGGTTTAAACGACCCATCCATGAAATGGGTTTGGGCCAGAGCAGCAAGAGGAAAAGGCATTAAGGATGAAGCCAGGCAGTCCCTCACCACTGCCAGGTGAGTGGGGCTGCAGTGCTAAGTGCTAAAACAGCACCAGCAGTGGAAGGTGCCAGGGAGCAGAGCACTGTCCCCTGTCAGAGCCACTCCGGCCAGCACATGGCCACCTCAGGGGGTGCCTGATGAAACCTCCCTCCCCAAAACCTCCCTCCACGTCTGCACTGTGAAGCTGAGCAACTCGTTCTTTCTTACAGAGCATCCAGACACGTGTCCCACCACACTCACAGAGGCACTGCACCCTCCAGCCCAGGCCCCTCAGGCCGGGGCAGCCCCTGTGTGCCCCCTGCCTGTCCAGGGAGACCTTGGGCCACCAGGGCAACACAAGGTGGGACAGAGGGACACAAGCACAGGGGCCCCCCAGTCGCCCTGCCTGATGTGTCCCAGATGATGCTGACGTGCCACGGCCCAGGGGCAGCATGGAGGAGCTGCTGGGGGACGCCAGATGGGGAGGGAAGGAAAGGGGAAGCACCTGACAGCAGGGTGCAGGATGGAGTGGGGCACAGATAGACGGGAGTGGGGTTCAGGGTGGGCAGATCAGAGGCTGACAGTGTAGGATGGGGGGCACAGGATAGGGGATGCAGAATGGGGGTGTCAAAGGGGACGTACAGGATGAGGGGCACAGGATGAGGTGTGCCCAATCAGGGGGCAGGATGGAGGGGTATAGGATGAAGTGGAAAGATCAGTGGTGCAGGACAGAGAAGCAGGACCCCCCCACCCCTTCCCCCGTCCATTTGCACCGCCTCACCTTGAAGAGCGCGTAGTGCAGGTACTGGTAGGGCTGGCGGCGCTGGA